GGGGGGGAAAAAAATCAATGAAATATCTATAATTTTGTTGTTTCGTGGCTGATTCGGATGAATCTTGCAGGGATGGTAGCCTCTGCTGAGAGCATGAAACCTGCCAATCTTCAAGAAGATCAGTGTAGGGGTTTGGGAGGAACTGTACTTCAAATTATTGAAAGCCAAACTCACGTCATGGCTGTGTGTTGTGCCACAGGGGAGTCAAAACTGTAGGACTGGTAGCTCTTACTGAGGCCAGAAAGCCTGCCAAGTTTCAAGAAGATCAGTGCAGGGGTTTGGGGAGAACTGCACCTGAAGCTGCGGCAGTTAATTGTCTCTATTGATTCTTTCCTCTCCTTAGCCTGTGTCCCGGGGGGATGAACCAGGCCCCAGCGTCACAGTGGGCCGGGATGGCGGATTGAATGTGAAACAGACGGGATTAGTGGCGAGAAGTTCTGGGTGGCACGGATTCGTATGTGGTTTCAAAACAAATGAGATTTATTGACTTACGCTTAGTTACGTAGGCAGAGCTGCTTGCTTCAGTTTCAGCTGTGCAGGTAAATAGACAGAACGAGAACTAATGACAACAAAGGGGTCTGTTGGGCCACGGGGTTCACGAGCAAGCCCTTGCGATCTACCCCGAAGGATAGGGGTGGCTGCCCACTCACTAGTCCCAGGGCTGGTCAGCAGCTCATAGGGTGGGTAAACGAATAACAAGAACAAACGTGATGCCAGTCCAAGTGGACAAGGAAGAGAAGTGATGGTAGCCGATACTGAGGTCAGAAGCCGGGTGTGTCGAGATGAGCCGTAATCAAAGTAAGTTGAGGATAAGCACAATTGTAGTCCGGGTTGAAAGCCAATCAGTCCAGTAACCGAAGGATCAGAACGTAATACGAAACTAAATCGAGTCACCGAGTACACCAAGGGAGGAGACCAATGAGCTGGTAAGCCCTCCTGCAGCCGCAGCCTCTGCTTCCAGGTAAGATCTCTCCTGACAGGACAGTCCCTGACACGTCAGCCTCTGTCTGTCAGTTGAGCGGGTCTCCCCCCTGAAGGGAGGGGGCTCACAAGCTTTTGTAGCAGCCTCGTAGCCAATCAGGCTGCTGTTCTGGTGGAATTTTCTGGATCAATTGCATCATGCTCTGGTTGTGGCTGAGCACATGCGTATCAGATTCTGTGAGAGACTGAGCATGCGCCTGAGGGAAAAGTAGGTTATGCATGATTGACAGGCCCTTAGGTCACCTAGGGGGCACGCGCTGGGCACTCAGTGGAATTTTCCATTACTAGTCCTGCCTGCGCATGTCAGCTCTAACTCTGTGTTGTCAGCATCTAATCAGAAATTTTTCCCTGACAGCCTGGTTTTGTAGGTGTTAATTGTTGCTAATTAATTGGCTACATTACCTAGGTCCTGTGTATTGAGCTGGTTTCTGAGTGAATCCTGATTGATTGGTAACTGGTAACACAGTCACTTAACAGCCAGGCCTGCTGTAGTGTCTCCCATGCCCCAAGTAGACACAGTCAGTCCCACAAGCACCCATGTCATGAGTTTTGCCTATCAGCAGCTAGGCCCCAGAACCCCCCTGCACCGCTCTCCTCAACAGCCAGCAGGCTTCATAGCCACAGCAGGGGCCACCATCCCTGCAGCTGTCACCCTGACGTGCCTTAACACATGCAGTGTCGCCCATGGCACGAGTTTTGCTTGTCCACAGCTTGAGGTGCAGTTCCCTCCCAAATCCCTGCACCAATCTTCTTGAAACTTGGCAGGCTTCATGCTCTCTGCAGAGTCTACCACCCCTGAAAACTTCATCGAAATCAGACAAAAAACAAAGTTATAGATATTTTATTGTTTCCCCGTTATACCCTATGGCCTGATCTCCAAGGCAGCTCCGAAGCACTTTGGAAGCTCCAAACCACTTCAGGAAGCCTAACAAGCCCAGCGCTTCAACCTGGACATGCTGCTTCGGACCGAAGCATCCAAAGCTTCTCCGGATCCGAAGCGCTGTCCGAAGCCTCGCACAGCCCTAGTAAGACGGGAGTTTGAGAGGTAATGGAAGGTGCAAGGATCCATGGGAAAAGGAATAGGCTGTGTGCCCACTGTTCTCAGTGTCCTTATTCCACACTGGCAGAATCACTCCTTCAAGAACTGTGCAGCTGTTTATTACTTTCTTCTATGGGGAGGAAGGAGAAGTTAACTTGTGATGAAGTGTATATCCACTAGGGGTGTGCAAAACATGCCATATTGGATTCAGATTTAGCCCAAATTGGGGACAGCGATTTGATTTGTTGATTCAGATTGCTGTCCTGATTCAATTCAGCCAAATCCAAATCTGAAGATTCAATGCAGATTCAGAGAATCAGCAATTCAGCCATAGACACAGCTTTAATTGTTTTTTTTTCTACATACCTCAAAGTACCAGGCACAGCTTGTGAATGCTGCAATGGTGGGGCAGATGGAGCGTCCCACAGGAGTGAGGTGGGGGCCCACCGTATGCTCAGCGGAGGACCTGGAAGTGGACCGGGTACCCCGCACACACCCAGGAGGCACCAATTGCTGGGAGAGGTGGGGACGGGGGGGTGGGGAGTGGGAGGGTCCTTTGCATGCTTCCTGGCAGATGACCAGAAGTGCTTCCAGGTCCACTGAGGACTCCCTCACACTCCTGTGTGATGCTCCATCAGCTCCACCATCTTAGCATTCATGAACCATCTGGTACCTTGAGGTATGTAGGAAAAACACAACAACATTTAAAGCCACCTCCGTCTAGAATCATGAAATATCTCTGAATTGATTTGGAGGGTTCAGATTCGATTCGGAGAGATTAAAAGGTCTCCCGATTCAATTCAGATTTGGAGATTTGGTTACCGAATTGAATCGGCTACTGAAGCCTTGCACAGCCCTAATATTCACCTATTTATATCAAATGATAAGCCTAATTTTGTTACAGGAGTGCTGGTTTAATTCTAAAATTGTCCTGTTTGCTTTCTGTTTTGTTTTCAGCTTTATTTGGACTGGGATTCTTAGACACAAGGTGAACAGTGGGAGCAAGAACTTGTTAATTTTAGAGGTTCTTCTACTTGGATGGAAGCGTTCTTAGACAATGAGTTAACAGTGAAAAACTCTTTTGTCCATGTAGTCTTGTACCCAAACAGTGGATCACTTGATAAGGAACTTGAACCTGCTCAGAATAGCCACCTGACAAAGAGAAGTGCAAATGTATAAAAGAACAATTCCCTCACCAGATATATTAGATAAGAGACCAGAACTAGAAGAGAAGGAAAAGAGTGATGATGGAAAAACACTGAGCACATTCCAAAGGCAATGGTGGGGAAGTTGAAAAGGGATGCATGTGCACATTCTATTGTTTTATTTTCCCATGGTTCTGTATATCTCCATTGTTATTTAAGAATAAAGTGTGCACTTATTTAGAGATTTCTTTGCAAGTTTTGAGTTACTCGCTTACACTGTCACTTATAGAAAGGAAACCAGGGGCTCTGCAATATCACTGACATGTTGAAAACATAGGGAGACTCTAGAGAAGTTGCATTAATTTTGAAGTCTTGGAAATTAGCCATGCTTAGTCCCCACTGCTGAGATGGTCATATCCAGAGCCTATGCATGGAGTGTTTGCCTTAGGGAGAACCAAAACATGTTGACACCCCCATGTTCAGCACCAAGTCCTGGCATGCTGGCTCTCATGATACACGTGCTCCAGATTCATTTGATCACATATAGACAACAATGGGGAGTGGAAAAAAGGGGTCCAGAAGGTCAGGTTCCTACCTGTGCTCTTTCTAGTACCACCTTTTCAGTTTGCTCTAATTCTCTACCATGCAATACAGCACTGTATTGCACCTAACAGCAGTGAATGCCACTGGGGTACATGCAGCTAATTCCCTGTTGCACCTGTCCGCTCCAAGGAAGCAGGCAATTGCTTCCGGGGAATGCCTTAATTCTGCATTTCCTGGTTTCCAGAGGTTTTATATTTTGTTTAATTAAGCATTCTAGAATGGCAGCAATTAATACCCAGCTACTTCATTTTATGGCAACAAAGGTTTTTTCTAGGCTTTTCTTTTGTTTGTCAATGAAGAAATATAGGTTTAATCAGAAGCACATTGTCAGGATTTTGAGCCCTGATATTTGGATGTTTTACACTTAGCACTAGAGAGACTGTAGGCAGCATGAGCACTCTGGTAGCCCGACTCAGGCTATTGTAACAGGGCTGTTGGAACCGAGAATGCCCCAAAGGTGGCTTAAAGCTTTGTGGAAGCATAGTATAAATTCTTACCTTATTTCCAAAGTCCCATTAATAATATTTCCTGTAATTGGCCATTGTGGGATGCTGATCTAAAGCCATACAGAATGCTCACAATAGCTTCTTGAAAAGATAGCAGCAAAAAATCTGTGGATTTC